GTCTATCAATGAATTCTTATTACCGTTTATGAGTTTAAAACACAAGAATTTTGTATGCATTTAATAATTTCTTAGTCTCTCTCTCTCTCTCTCTCTCCTCTTTTAACAACAATCTAATTAATAGACATCTCTTTTGGTCAACACTTTCAGACACTTATAATTTAGCAAATTCTACATAACTTATGGTAAAAATCTATATTTCATGTGACACTAAACGGTAGTGTTGTTCATAAAGTCTTGAATCCGCGGATCAATTGAAGTACAGTCCGAACGCCTCTTTAACCGCCTGTTCGGCCAACACATGGATTAAGTGGTGATAAATATTTTCATACCATTTATCGTTAAAAACTAGTAAAAAAGTAAAAAAGTTTTGCATTAATGCTAGTTCGCAAAAAACTCGATAACTTATAATTGCATCAAAAACTTACAACAAGTTTTACCATGATTTTTATTATTAAATCTATCGAAACTTAATCCACTATTCAAAATATTATTACAACAAGAATTGCGGTCATAATCGGGCATCAGATCCAACGTATTGTAAGTAATCCGGTATTCATTGGCGTAAAAGTCGGCAAAACAACCATAATTTGTTTCAATCAGATTGCAGTCATATTTACATACTTTACCATCACTTAAAACGGGCACAAACTTATCGTACGTATCAACAAACGAGTGCAAACGTGGTAACTGTTCAAACACTCTATGCGCCACTTCGGGTACGGGAATCATCTCGACAATAGTCCGGGACAATTGGTTACACGAATACACTGTACCCGAGTTGGCCAGAAAATAGGTCGTGTTGTACGCGCAATACACGGCCCGGATATCGGCCACCTGTGAGACTAGTCTCGGTTTGCGGACATTACCGGTCCCGATGTCCGAGTGGCCCAATTGGCGGCCACTGTTGTCACCCCAACTCAGTACCAGACCCTCGGGTGCGGCGGTGATGGCAAACGAGGTAAACCCGTAGCAATAAATGGATTTTATTGTGAACAACTTGGTAAATTTGACGCGCACTGGCGTACGCACAAAATGATTGCCGCCGCCCGGCACAGGACACTCCCCGCACCCGATCTGTCCGGCACTGTTGTCGCCCCAGCCGTACACGTGTCCATCGCAGGTGAGCACCATGGTATGATTGTAACCGCAACTGATCTGGCTGACCCACAGTTCATCGCACACGGTCACTTTGCCGGGCTTTAAATATAGTTCCCGACCGCTCCACCAGCGAGCCATCAGTCCCGCCGGACGGGTTTCCCGACCCAACTGTCCCCACATGTCGTGACCCCAGCTGTATATGTCGTGACCAGCGGTGGCGGCGGCGCTGGCGGTGACGGCGAACACAGCGGACAACCCGTTGGCAAAGTACTGGACTCGCCGGTGGCATAACTCCGGGACCGGTCGGGGAGTCGCCACCCGTTGGTTGTGTCCCAACCCGAGGCAACCGTATTGGTTGGCGCCCAACGCGTACACCATATCATCGCACGTGACGTACAGCGCGTCAAACTCGGTGTCAAAGTCGCGAAACACGTGCAACAATTTGATCCGGGTACGCGTGCCACGTGGTATATTATCGCATATGCTGAATTTACCAAGTAGTTCACTCATGGTGAATTAAATGATGGTGTTTTTTACATTGGTTGTTTTTTAGAATGAAACTTTGTGAAAATACTTTTTCAGCTGTTTTTGTTTATCAACATGAAATAAAAAGTTGAACAGTGTTCCCTCTATGTTAAAGTATGGCAACGAGTATCAAGGGCATTTAGACTGGAATATACCCCCTCCAGTTTGATTGACACCCCTTTTCTGCAGACAACCTTGATTGTATTTATGCTTTTTTTAAATCATGTTATGTAAACCCGGCTAATTTGTACCAATGTAAAGTCACTTTTGTGCTATATAACACTAAACTCTTGATTCAAATAATCAAAATGTAATAAAGTTTTAAAACTAACAATAAATTAACTGTTTGTATACGTGATTACAATTAAACGTGGTTCTATTAACTAAATACATAAATAAATTATTGAATGCGGTAAAAATACAGTTTAAAAATTATCTGGCTAATTTCTAACTAAATTAAAAACTTTAAATAACTGTCAACTCCTCCATACCCGCCACCCACCTAAAACGTATACGTACTCTATGAGCATACAATCTGTCATGTACTATATGAGCAGCGCCGGCGATAAATGTCAAACACTGTGGGGTTGTGTTGTTATGTTTGATAGAGACGTGCCATAGATTTAACACAACATAACACATCCCATAGAAAAAGCATTACTGACGCCACACAACAATCTATACACAGTATTAGTAACGCATAGCAACACTCACTGACACAGCATTATATAGCGTACGTTAAACGCACGCATCGATTATATACTGTACTCAACGCACAGTGGAGTTAAAGTCCACAAACAATATATCGATTGTATTGATAGGTCTATGCCTTACCCAACACATACAGTACACTATCGATAATTCATACACACATACGTGCGCATAGCCTAAGAGTGTGTGTCTGTAGGAGAGGGTGCGGGAGTGTATGGGGGAGTACATGTGGGAGTGTGCAAAATGTGTTGTGACAAGGTGGGGGGAGACCCGACCAATGCCAATGGTATCTCTCGCTCTCTTTCTACAGTACAATTCAATGTGTGTTGTATTTTATTATGAACCGTATATTTGAAAAATAACACTCAAAAAACACACGCAGACATTACCAACATCATCAATACAAATGTAAGCCATTTAGCAGAGCCTGTTGTTGATTATCATCATCATTTCAATTAACTGTAATAATATTTAATTAATTAATTAATGCGCCTAGCTCATTTAATTAATTTATTTACGTTCGTCTTATATGATATGTGCCAACACTGAGCTGTATTGTCATTATTAGTGTACTTTAGTGATACTCTCGGTGTTAATTATGTGTGTAGTTTATACGTGAGTTGATTGTATGACTGGACACTACAGCGTGTCTCATCACTAAATCGCGTCACAATGTAATGCCATGTTATGTGTGGTTATTATTATTATCGCATGTTTTATAATCACGAGTTTGTAGTCACAAACCCTAACAGACATTTAATAATTACAATTAATAATAGTTAAATACTTAACTAGTGTTTACACGTACTGTATATTTGTGTGTTTAGACACCACTAATTGGTGGACCAATTAAACGGCCAAATGGTATGTATTTGTTATTAATTATATTTATTAACTAATATTACACACCATGTTTATAAATGAGGCCACAGATTGTCTGTGCCATAGACTTAACATTGAGTGTTAACTAGCCTTAAACGCCACCATTGAATACAACGCTAATCACTATTTACTTTGTTTTTACCCCCGATTATCATCACCTCTACCGCCGATGGCCACTAAATCACTCACTCATACAACCACTGCATCACTACTACTACTGTTGACCACAACTCTTAACCACCCGTTTATCTCTCACCTGTTGTTTACACTACTCAATGATCACTTGACTGATCCACCCGTTGCTAACCACTCGATGATCACCTGATGGTACAGTCGCTGACAGCGGACGAGCCGCCAGTGTTGCCAATCGGTACGGATGTGTCGGCCAAATACAAGGGCGCCTTCTGCGAGGCCAAAATCAAACGCCTGACGCGCGCCGTGAAGTGCAAACTCACACTCAAACACAACAAAAAAGTCCCGCAAAACGGGTGGACACACATACCTGCGGCACAGTATTGCCGAGCAGTAGATCATAGAGAGAGAGAGAGAGAGAGAGAGAGAGAGAGAGAATAGTTAGAGGGGTTAAATGTAGTTTACCATATTGTGTTATTTATGGTATCTAGATAATTCCTGTCATATTGTTGTAGAATTTGTGTCCAATAATTTACTTTGTTTTTACTATTTTATTACAATTGTATATTAATTAATATCAACGACAATGCATTACAACATCTTAATAACGGCACATTTTATTCATTTTATTTTTAGCCAGTAAACATTTTAAAATTAGTTTATTAAATGGAAAATAATTTTATATATAAGAAATTCAACAAAAATAAATTGAAAATAATTATATTTTGTGTAAAAATGTCTGAAATTTTCAAAATTTTTTAAATCATTGCAAAAATTTCTAAAAAATATTAGAAAAAAATATATTAATAGGGAATTTTCTATAATTTGTTGAAATATTGTGAAATAAAATTATGGCATTATTTAATGACAACAATAAATCAATGAGTAAAAAATTTTGTTAAAAATAATAAATTGCATCTAATATTACCATTAAATGGTTTGATCCAAACCTAACACATATGGACTGATATACAGACATATTTGCTTATATAGTAATTTTAAAAAGTAGTTTTGAGTAATAGGTCTACGAAATAAAGCCTAATACTAACAACAATGCGTACGACAACAATGATTGTGGTAATTGTGGCCCTATTGGCGATCAGCGCTTATACCGTATGACTGATCCAATCGGTATGTGTTATATCTATTACACAATACGAACAATGATTATATTTAAAATATTTATTACAATATGTGCTGACATTTGCAGCCAATGCTTATGCCGAACCAAACCCGGACCCTCTGGCCGAAGCTGACGAGGCCAGTGATTTTGCTAGTAAGATTATTGCATCTAATATAATATAAGATTTAAGCTATAATGATTAACTATTAAACTAATATTTTATATGTGTATTATACAGGTAATATAGCAAAGGTGAACAAGGATATAAAAATAATGGATAGAAGAGATGAATAGAATAGATGGAATAATATTATACAATAGAATAAAAGGCAATATAGTATAGAAAAATAAGTTATATTACTGTATATTGAAATAAAATATTTTTAATTACATTAAATCTAAATATAATATTTCATGAACAGAATATAATGAATTGAAGTAAAAACTAAATTACTTATAGAATTTTGTTGATTTTTACAAAATAATAAACATTAGTTCTTGTTTTAAAATATTTATATATTTAAAGTATACCACATGACTAAATTCTATTTATAAGGTATACTATTCCAACGATTCTATTATTTTGGGTTTATACCAACTATTATATTCCCAGAAAATAGATTATATTTCCAAAAATTTCTAAAAAATATCAGAGAAAAGGTATTAAAAATCAATATTTTCTATAAGTTGTTGAATATATTATGTAATAAAATAAAATTATGGTATTATTTAATGACAACAATCTATTAATGAGTAAAAAAATGTTGTCCAAAATAATAAATTGCATCTAATATTACCATTAAACATCTGGACACCTAGCACATCTGGACTGATATACAGACATAATTGCTTATAAATTAATTTTCAACAGTAGTTTCGAGTAATAAGTCCATACAATACAGTCATATACTAACAACAATGCGTACGACAACAACGATTGTGGTAATTGTGGCCCTATTGGCGATCAGCGCTTATACCGTGATGGCTGACCCAATCGGTATGTATTATATCTATTACACGATACGAACAATGATTATATTTAAAATACTTATTACAATATGTGCTCACATTTGCTGCCAATGCTTATGCAGAGCTCGAGCCGGCACAGGAACCTCAAGACGATGAGGATGTTACACCCGAACAAATGGGTGAAATATTAATAGCAGCTGCTATGATATAAGATTTAACCTATTATAATTCACTATGAAACTAATATTTTAATGTATGTTTGACATAGAGCAGCTTAAGAAGATGATCAAGGACCAGTTAAAAAGCCAATGATTATTACAAGCAAATCACGTGTCCATATGTTTTCAATTATATTGAAATAATTTATTTTAAAAATATTATACTAAATAAAATTTATTTATTTTAAAATAACTATTACTTGAACAGAATATTCTACTTGATTTATAACTATTATATTTATAAATTTTAAACTAGATTGATATAGAGTAATAAACGTGAATTATAATTCTAAACTAAAGACGGACTTTATAAACAGAAAGAATGTAAATTATCAATATCAATTATTGTAATGCCATTTGAGACACAAAATATCGGATAATGAATTCAAACCACTAATGATTTATAACATTTAAACGCTGTAGACTATGGTATAAATGCTATAGAATCAGGTAGCCAAACAATCCTATAAACTACATTTTTATAAATGAATTGTGGTTAAAATGTATAATAAATCTGACATTTTAAAATAGCTGAATATAATTTATAGTTTTATTTATTTTAGTTTTGATATACGATATAAGATTTCATACATTTTATCGCTCTAAACGATATAAGATTTCATCGTTTCCTTTCATTAAGTTATTCACAACAGTCTTAAAGTTGGGATCAGTTGTCACACAATTTCTATCAATAGACCACTCATTATATGATTGCAATACTTGTCGACAATCGGGTCTATCGTTCGGTTCCAATGATTGCATAGAAATCAACACTTTTTGTAATTTACTTTTAGAATTGTATAGATTATTATCTGAGGAATGTAGTACCACACTATAAATAATGAATAAATTAAACATTATATAAAATTTGATAAGAAATAATTGTTAAATTGTAAGAAGATAATATATAGGCGGCCAATATCTTTGTTCCAGTTTGAATTTGCAATATCTCCCAAACGGAATGAGCTAGCTCAAATCTGTAAACAGTATAATGATGTCCCATATATCAAATATTTTATCTAAAAAAATTATTGAAATCACGTGACTAGAACATAGAAATTTTTGGGTCATTTCGAAATGTCATATTTTTAGCCCAGTTGCAAAGGGGGTCAGAAGTGGGTGGGTATGCTATTTGGAAGAGGAGATGTGAAAGTATATATTATAGCAAAGTTTCATAAACATCGAATAAATATTCTGTCGTAACGAACAAAATATTCAAGAAATTTGACACAATATTTGGACAAAAATCGCCCAATTTTGACCTTTTTATTCTACATTTTTGTAGTTTAAAAATCACGACTTATTAGCAATTTTATCCCATAGACATAATGTTAATAAAATTGACAATTTCTCGTAGATGGCTGAAGTAATCTTAACCAAATTTTGTTATAATATATTTTCACATCTCCTCTTCCAAATAGCATACCCGTCCCCTTCTGACCCCCCTTACATGGGGGCTAAAAATATGACATTTCAAAATGACCCAGAAATTTCTATGTTCTAGTCACGTGATTTGAATAATTTTTTCAGATAAAATATTTGATATATGGGACATCATTTTACCGTTTACAGATTTGAGCTAGCTCATTCCGTTTGGGAAATATTGCAAATTCAAACTGGAACAAAGATATTGGCCGCCCATATATTATTTCTTAAATACTGAGAAAAAATATACTCACAATTTTGTTGTTATTTTATTATCAAATATATTTTCCCCGATTTTGGCCGCACTGTAAACATCTGTCTTGTTATCAACAGTTTGTCCGTCAGTTTCTTCGGGCGATAAATATTCGGGATTTCTATTAGAGGACAGGCTTTCAAATATTGAGACTAAACCAAGATCACATAATTTCAAACACAAATTCCCGGCTTTGCCTCCGATTAACACATTCTCGGGTTTGAGGTTTCGGTGAATCACTGCTGGACTCAAATCATGCAAATGTTGGACACATTTCAACAGCTCTGCGAATATTTGACACGAAATGAAAAACTCCGACGAATTCATGGCCTCTTCGGCTGATCGGCCGCCAAATGCCGGGCCTTTGAGTGACAGTACTGTCCGTAAACTGTGTGAACACAACTCCATCTCAATGTAATATTTCTTGTCTTCAAACCATGTATACAGATATTGGACCAAATGTTTGGTCGGTATATTTAACAAAGTGTTCAAAATTTTGAACACTGTGTTATCTATTAAACATATACATTATTAAACCTGATTTTAATACTATAAATCATTTTGCATATTTACTATGATATTCAATAATTTTAATAGCATATTCCATTTTATTTTGCCTTTGTCTTACTTTGAAAACTGTGCCAAAACATCCCGTACCCAATACAAACAACGCATCGTAACGATGTTTATATATATTTGAATCTGGTTGAGCTAAAAATGTAAGTGAATTAAAATATAATATATTTTATTTTAGAATTTCAAAATTTATACCTTTATGTAATTGATTTTTTATAAGTACTTCGTTTAAAAAATGTCCACATTTTTCATTAAATTCTTTAATTGTATTGTAATTATAGACTTTATAATCGCATAAATGTATTGTTTTATAAGTCATTTTCATTTCACTTAAACAATAATTAAAGAAATTTGTGTAAATAGTTTCACTAAAATTTAGGATATGATTAATATTATATATTTTATCATTGGATAACCCGATCACACAATAACTGCTCTTATACTTGTAGGTTGTGCTAATAGTCAGCAAATCCACCATCGTTGTATTATTGTTTGATACCTTGACCACTGTTTTATGCGTTGAACAAACATTATTATCACTCATATGTTGGCCACAAAAATACACAAATCCATCGCTTGTTAGGAAATATGTTTGTCTATCAGTCAGACACACCGTTTGGATGTTATATAAATTGTCAATCATTTGTGGTTTAAATATATTATCCGATATATTGTGTCCCAAATTATATTCATTAAAACCCCAACTGAAGACTCGGCCATAGTACTCGGCCACGGCAAACGATATAAATTCATAACAATAAATGCTTTTTATTTTATAGCTATTTTCATTGTGTATAATCTGTATTTTCATTAGAGTCATAATCTTGGTTAAGTGCTGTTTCCCACAACCCAACTGTCCCTCACTATTACTACCCCATCCGTAAACAAAGTCATCACCGGTGACCACAAGTGAGTGATATTGACCACAACTTATACCACGTATAACAGAATTATTAGGCAATGATATGATGTTTGGCTGTAAGTAATCTTCAGTGGGTGGTCGGGCTAAGTGTGCCCAGTTGTTACGACCCCAACCGTGTATATAATTTTGGTCATTAATGGCTAAAACAAAATTATAGCCACAAATGAATTGTTGTATATTTTGTTGACATAATTCTGGTATAACTAGTGGTGTATTGACAGCCCTATTGTGTCCCAAACCAAGTGATCCACACTTAGGGTGACCAACTCCCAACTCGGGAAATGAGAATATTATAAGAAATTTTGAGGACAAATGAGGACATTTTTAGTAATTATAGAAGACAAAATTGAGGACACCATTTTATTAACAAATTTATTTATTGGTTGTATACGCTAAATACGCTTGTATGAATAATTAGCATTCACAGTTATATTTTGGTGTTAGTTTAATAGAATTTATTAAATTTTATTCATTTTAACAAGCGAGTTTAATTAATTGCAAAATTCTATAATAGTATTTTTTATGTGATGCATGTTATATAAAATACTTTAGCATAAACCCGATCTTTCAGTACAATTTCATACAATTTTTGTTACAATTTAACGCTATTTAAGTGTTAGTTTATCAATATGAAAATTGAGGACAATGAATAGTCCTCATTACCCCCTTCTGAGGACAGTAGCCAAAAGACTCCGAAATGAGGACTGTCCTCAAAAATGAGGACGGTTGGCCACCCTATCCACACTTATTAGATCCCATGCAAAATGTAATCGAAATGTATTTTTCCTTAGCACTAAAATTTCAACAAATTTTACATTTTAAATAAACAAAATTATTATTACTCACATAGAATTTAACATTAACATAACATCAACCGAAAGTTAAATTATAGCAATAATTGCAGTTATCTATTAACTTAAGCAGTAATCACATGTTAAATCTCATAAAGCGGAGGGGGATAGCCGAACGATATCACATTATTTAGATAAAAGTTTATTTAATAATATATAAAGTTTACATACGTTGTGTTTATTTTAAACATCTTATATCCGATAACACCTAGACTAAAAATATCAACTTTAAGGTCATACTGCTTAAAACAAGACACTTCGTATGCCATGTAGTTAGGAGTTCCCACGCCTGTAGTGTGACTTTGGGACTGTCGGTGATGTTCAGTGGCCAAACCAAAGTCACCCAACTTTAAAAATCTCTTGTTTTTACTATGATGTTTGATTAATATATTTGCGGGTTTGATATCCCTGTGAATGATTGGAGGGTTTAATCCATGCAGATATTGAAGGCATTCCAAAAGTTCCCGAAATATTTCACAATTTAGGAAATACTCATAAATACCCATCGGTTCTGTTAATTGTCAAATACTTGTTGCTTATTGTTAAGTACAGAGCGGAGTGTTTGCGGGCAGTACTCCATCTGAATATACAATTGCAAGCCTTCGATCCACGAGTTGTAATATTTGACCGCTAACTTCGACTTAAGCTTCGCTAAATGTTTTACCTCTCTCAAAACTCGATTTTTATTTCCCTTACTAAAATCTATGTTTTAATTAATTGATAATTTCATTAATAATACAATAATTTAAAACTTGTATTAAAAGTTACCTTCAAATTGTACTCTTTTAACGGCATATATCTTATCATTATCTTTACCCTTGACTTTAAATACTGTCCCAAAAGCTAAATTTAACTCAATTGGGTCACAAATATAAAGGTTAGTCATTTTGCAACCAATTTGGCCCCAATTGTTGTCAACCCAGGCAAACACCTGGCCATCACTAGTTAGCACCAGTGTATAATAGGTGCCGCAAATAATTTCGGCAATAGGTTTATTTTTAAAATATGGTATTTTTGTTGGTTTTGAACAATCTAGTTCAAAATTATTCTGGCCCAATTGGCCATAA